CAGCCAAAGAAACAGTTCCAACCATTTTTCCAGTTCCTTTCCTTCGATGCTGACTTCTCGAAAAATAGAAACCCAACAGAAAAAATGCAAAGTTACCACAATGAGTTTTTTTCTCGCCTGCCTGCCTGCCTGCCCGATGTTTTTGGAATAATGAAGAGACAAAACTTTTCTGAAGGCTTGTAATTTTTGTTTAGCAAAGTTTTTCTTTTTGTTATTGTTGTCTTTTTTTTGTTATTTCACACTCGTTACTGATGTTCAATTTTGTTGACGTTGTTGTTGGTTTTTTCTTTTGTTCTTCGTAGTTGCATTTGTTCGCTTGTTTTAGCCTTTTGTTAAAAAAAATAATACAATAGGCGACAGCTTGGTGGTTACGAGTTAAAGGAACAAATTCCACGTCATAGCCGAGGTTCTTTAAAATATGTATTTTTTTAAGATTTAAGATGATTGTAGGTGAGCTAATGAATCCTAGGTGAGCTATGGGCCATTGGTAAGCTAGTGAACCATAAGTGAGCCAGCATAGGTGAAGCATAGGTGAGCTGATGAACCATAGATGAGCTAGTAAACAATAAACAACCTATTGAACCACAATAGGTGAGCTGGTGAAGCATAGGTGAGGTAGTGAGGCAAAGGTGAGTACATCATATGTGAGCCATAGATGAACTCTTGAACCATAGGTGAGCTGGTGAATCATAACTTAGCTAGTGAAATCTATGGGAGCTAGTGACCTAGTGAACCATAGGTAAGCTGGTGAACCATTGGTGAGCTGGTGAGTCATTGGTGAGCTGGAGAACCATTGGTAGGCAGGTTAACCATTGATGAGCTGGCGAACCATAGATCATTGGAGAGCCGTTGAACCGTTGGTGAGCTGCTAAACCGTTAGTGAGCTGGTGAACCATTGATAAGCCAGTGAACAAAAGGTAAGCTGGTGAACCATAGGTGAGCTGGTGAACCATAGGTGAGCTGGTGAACCATAGGTGAGCTGGTGAACCATAGTTGAGCTGGTGAACCATAGGTTAGCTAATAAACTATAGAGCATTGGAGAGCCGTTGACTCGTTAGTGAGCTGCTGAACCATTGGTGAGCTGGTGAACCATTTATAAGCTAGTGAACCATGGTTGAGTTAATGAACCATTTTTGACCTGATGAACCATTGATAAGCTGGAGAATTATTGGTGAGCTGCAGAACCATTGGTGGGCTGGTGAACCATTGATGAACTAGTAAACCACTGTTGAAGCTGTGAATCTTTGGTGAGCTGGTGAACCATATATGATCTTGTGAAGCATAGATGAGCTAGTGTACTTTAAGTAAACTGTTGAGCCACTGCTAGCTAATGAATGAAAGTGTGCATGTGAACCATAGAGGATCTAGGAATCCATAGGTAAGCAAGGGAACTATAGGTGAGCTAGGGAACCATAGGTAAGCTAGGGAACCCTAGGTGAGCTGGCGGTTTATTGGTGCGCCATAGATGAGTTAGGGGATCATAAATGGAAGAGGGAATCATAGATGAGACAGGGAATCATAGGTGAACTGGTGAAAAATAGGCGAACCTTAGGTAACATAGACAACCATAGATGAGGCAATGAACCATAGGAGAGGCAGTAAATCTTAGGCGACCTAGTAAACAATAGATGAGCTAGTGATCCATAGACGAGCCACTGATGAGCAATAAAACCATTTGTGAGTTATTGAGTCGGGAGAATCATGAACTTTAGGTGAGCCAGTGAACCATTCGTAAGCTAGTGCTAGGGATTTTGTGACGTTGTGTATTTCAGGGAATTTTTTAGAGCTGTAGGAAACGACGTTGTACCACTGTTGAGTTAAGTGAGCTTGTAATCGATAAATGAGCTAATGGACCATAGGCTAGCTTATGGTCCTTTGATGAACCAATGAATAGTTGGTGATCTACAGAACCTGAGGAACCATTTGAGAGTTGATGTCCAGCTTAAACCTTAGGTGCGCTGAAAAAAAATTCTATTTCAGATTCTTGAAAGGTAAAAAATATTTTAGTCAAAAATTTCAACATCGTTTAAGTATTTCTATTTGCTACCATAAACAGTTCGGTTCCAATTTCCATATTTTGTAGTTTCGATGTTGAGTTATGGGATCTAGTAATCCATAAAAGAGCTAGTGGACCAAATTCAGCTAATGAACCTTTAGTGGCCAAATGAACTCTAGATGAGCTACAGAACCTGAGAAGCCATTTGAGAGTAAACCTTAAGTGAGGTGACTAGTATTTTTGAGAAATTTTTCAACATTCGTCAAAGTATTTTGAAGTTTTTGGCCTATTTAGCCGTCCCGTATCTGGTATTGTAGAGGTTCCAGTCACATTTTCCTATCGAAGTGAAGTAAGTAATTGGGTATTTCGGTTTCTTTGTGTTTACAAACAAATATTTTCAATGTAGGTCCTCGTTTAGGTATAGCCCGATATAAATGTTCCGCAACATTATAGGTATTTTTAAAATTTTAGCCATGTTTTCCAACCGATATCGCTGTAATTTGCTATTCTGGGTTCTTGGAGAATGAACAACTAAATTCCCGAATATTTTAAATACATGCCCATTTATTGGCAAGTCCAACCACTTTTAGGCATTTTTATGCTCTTCAGCTGGTTGGAAAATGAATTTTGGGAAGAGTTCATGGTTCTTACCCTCCCTACCAAAAATTATCAATATTAAGCAATGTTTCGGGGTAGCCCCATGAAAGGGTACCCCTCAAATTTCGATAGTTTGGTCACTTTTTTTTCAAAGCCAAAATCTCCTTACCAAATATTATTAATATTTTCCCATGTTTCCGGGAAGCCCCCATATGACTCTAAATCCCACAATTTCGATACCTTGAGGAGTTTGGGAACGTCGTTCAACCAAATTGGGTGAAATTATATATTGCGGATTCTCATTGTATAGAAAATCTCCCTACCAAGAAGATTTCAATATGGCCGTTTGCGAGTAGCACCCATATAATTGTTCGGTATTTTAGGGGCTTGGGCAAAATTTGCCTTTAATTAGGTATTTTTAGTTCTCACTGAGTAGAAAATTTCCCTACCAAAAATTATTAATATTGGCCCAAGTTCCTGGATAGCTCCCATATAATGGTACCAGCCTATATAAAAATAGCCCTCAATTTTCGATACTTTGAGAGTTTTAGCAGGTTTGTCCAATCGAAGAAGCTGTAATTTGGCATTTCGGGGTTTTGTAGGCCCATATTTTGACATAACTATCGTATGAAGGTCCCTTGTAGCCACATTTTACAAACGAAAGGGCTGTAATATGTCATAAATGGATCTTGAAGGCTGACATACAAAATTTGGTATAGCGTACTGAATTGAGACTAGAATGATGCATGCCAAGTTTCGTGAAAATCGGTTAAGATTTAGATATAGCTCCATATATATTTTTGTCCGATTTAAGGTAAATGGTGCACCAAAGTCCCTATATATACTCCGTTTTGCACGAAATTTGGCACGGTGTGCTGAATTGAGTCTAGAATGATGTGTGCTAAGATTCGTGGAAATCAGTTCAGATTAAGATATAGCTCCCATATATATATTCGACCGATTTTATGTAAATGGTTCACCAAAGTCCCTATATGTATTTCGATTTACACGAAATTTGGCATAGCGTACTAAACTAAGTCTAGAATTATGTCCGACAAGTTTCGTGAAAATCGGTTCAGATTTAGATATAGCTCCCATATATATTTTAGTCCGATTTAAGGTAAATGGTGCACCAAAGTCCCTATATATCCACCGATTTACACGAAATTTGGCACGGCGTGCTGAATTGAGTCTAGAATGATGTGTGCTGAGATTGGTGGAAATCGGTGCTGATTTAGATATAGCACCCATATATATTTTCGTCCGATTTTATATAAATGGTGCACCAAAGTCCCTATATGTTTTTCGATTTGCTCGAAATTTGGCACAACCTACTGAATTAAGCCTACAATGATGCGTGCTAAGTTTCGTGAAAATCGTTTCGGATTGAGATATAGCCCCCATATATATTTTCGTCCGATTTAAGGTAAATGGTGCATCAAAGTCCCTATATATCTTTCGATTTTCACGAATTTTGGTATAGGGTACTGAATTAAGCCTAGAATGATGTGTGCTAAATTTCCTGAAAATCGGTTCATTTTTAGATATAGCTCCCATATATATTTTTATTCGATTTTAGTTAAATGGTGCACCAAATTAAGCATAGCGTACTGAATTGAGTCTAGAATGATATGTGCTAAGTTTCGTGAAAATCGGTTCAGTTATATCGGTATATATCTGACAATTAGAATTCTTGGATTATCTGTTGTTTTACGCAAAAGTGGTGAAGGGTATCATATAGTCGGTCCCGTCAAACTTTTGAACTTTCCTTATTGGTATTATTTTTATTTTCTTTTGTGACGTATTGACAACACTGTTCCCCCAAATTCTAATAAAATATTAAAATATTTTTCACAACACACCCACATATGCGTACATTATATTGGCACACGATTGATATCCAAATTACTTCATTGCTAATGTTTCAAAAAACGAGAAAAATAGAAAAAATCGAAAAGTCGTAATTAAAAAACAACCAAAAATTCTAATTAGACACGGTTCAATGGCCAAATAGAAAATAAACTCGAGGTGAAAATCATTAGTTGATAACGAAAAACTCAACAATGTACAACCAACCCCCATTTTGAAAACAAAATAAAAAAATTGTAAAAAAATGATTTGTAAAACCACTTTATTATGTCACTTAATAATAATCGTAACTGTCATCCTAAAGGGCCATCTAGCTAAGGTAAGGGTAAATTTTTTTAATTTTTATTTTTTTATATACATTTTTTTATATAAATTTATTATTTTTTTCTTTTAGAGATCCGGCAAAAGTTTCTATTTCTATAGCTAAAAAGTGGAATTCGACAGCACCTATATACAGGACCATCGCATAAATCTGCGAAATACTTCGATTGATGTTCTTTTGAATATTGCCCAAGATTATCCTTGGGATCCATGGCTGATGACAGCCTTTTCGGTTAAGGATCGTAAAACGGATAATTTCCGTAAGCTGATACATTACGATGTCAATGTTTGCAGTATTTTGGGACGGGCTGATAATAACCTGATAACAGTGTGGATACAAAATTTTTTGAAATTTGGAAATCTGCCGAAAAGTTGTCCGATTAAGAAGGTGAGCATATTTTTGTTAATAATTTGTATTTATTTATTTTTTTTTTTCATTCGTATTTCTTTTGCTAGGGCAACTATTCATGGTATAAATTGCGACCGGAGAAAGTTTCCATTCCTGATGTCTTTCCCTCAGCAGAATATAAAATGCAAATCGATACGTATTTTCGCAAGGGCAAGGAACGACAATCTGTGGATAATTTAACCGTGGTAGGAATACTGAAGTAGTAAAAAATATATTTTTTTTATTATTGTGTGCATAAATAAAGAAAGGAGAAAGAAGAAATGGTTCGGAACTTTTATATGGGAGATATGTCAAAGCAAAGACCTCTAGATCAGACGAAATAAAAATTCGTTTAGGACCATAAACATGCCTATGGGGAACTTTGCCACCCGGAATATGTAAATAAGATTTTCAAAATACCAAAAACCGGGGACTATATTGAACATTTTCTGTAGAGATGTTTACCCATTCCGATAATCGGGAATGCCAAATTACATTTTATTTTATTTTTTATACCCTTCACAACACTGTGGTACAGGGTATTATGTCTTTGTGCATATAATTGTAACAGGCAAAAATAATCGAGATAGACCCATGGTTCCTTTTGAGAATATGCATAGAATCACTTTCTGAGTCGATTTATGCATGTCCGTCCGTCCGTTCGTCTGTCCATGTTAAATTGTAAACAAAGTACAGGTCGCATTTATGATCCGAATTGGATCAAATTTGGCACAGCTCACTTGTTTGGCCCAAGGACGAACCCTATTGAAATTGGGAAAAATCTGTCCAGATTTAGATATAGCTCCCATATATATTTTCGTCCGATTTAAGGTAAATGGGGTACCAAAGTCCCTAAATATCTTTCGATTTGCACGTAATTTGGTATAGCCTACTGAAATAGGTCTAAAATGATGTGTGCAAAGTTTCGTGAAAATCGGTTCAGATTTAGGTATAGCTCCCATATATAGTTTCGCCCGATTTTAGGTAAATGTTGCACCAAAGTCCCTGAAAATCATTTGATTTACACGAATTTTGGCATAGCGTATTGAATTAAGTCTAGAATGACGTGTGCAAAGTTTCGTGAAAATCGATTCATATTTAGATATAGCTCCCATATATAGTTTCGCCCGATTTTAGGTAAATGATGCACCAAAGTCCCTGAAAATCATTTGATTTTCACGAATTTTGGCATAGCGTTTTGAATTAAGTCTAGAATGACGTGTGCTAAGTTTCGTGAAATTCGGTTCAGATTTAGATATAGCTCCCATATATAGTTTCGCCCGATTTGAGGTAAATGATGCACCAAAGTCCCTGAAAATCATTTGATTTACACGAATTTTGGCATAGCGTATTGAATTAAGTCTAGAATGACGTGTGTTAAATTTCGTGAAAATCGGTTCAGATTTAGATATAGCTCCCATATATAGTTTCGCCCGATTTAAGGTAAATGGTGTACCAATGTACCTATATATCTTTCGATTTGCACGAAATTTGGTATAGCCCACTGAATTAGGTCTAGAATGATGTGTGCTAAGGTTCCTGAAAATCTGTTCAGATTTAGATACAGCTCCCATATAGTTTCGCCCGATTTTAGGTAAATGGTGCACCAAAGTCCCTATATATACTTCGATTTGCACGAAATTTGCCATAACGTACTGAATTGAGTCCGGAATGATGTCTGCCAATTTCGAGAAAATCGGTCCAGATTTAGATATAGCTCGCATATATAGTTTCGTCCGATTTCATTTAAATGGTGCACCAAAGTCCCCATATCTTTCGATTTGCACGAAATTTGGCATAACGTACTGAACTGAGCCTAGAGCGATGTCTGGCAAGTTTCGTGAAAATCAGTTGAGATTTAGTACAAAATTGAGCATAGAATAACGTAGTTGCGTTTTCTAGAAGTACAGACATAGCCCAACGGATGACCTATTGATATTTCAAACAAATATCGATTTACATAATTTTGTCACATTGTAACAAACGAATGATATGTTTATGTATAGGTCTAGGTCGATTCACATTTAGATAAATATCACATATTTTATTTGTTCCAATTTCATGTTAATAGTGCTGTTTAATATGCCCATAGTGGTAAAGGGTATCATATAGTCGGCCCCGTCCGACTTTACTACTTTCCTTACTGTTTTTTTTTTTTTTTGCAAATATATATTCCATCCTCCAAGAACGCAAAATACTTACTGACCGACAATCAGTTTCGAAAACGCGACTAAGACCCTCAGCATTCCGAAAAAATTATGCGGTAACTTTATAGCAAAAATTGCGAAGAAGTCCCCAGCCAGAACGAAGAGTGCCAGAAAATATACTTTGTGAACCATTTATCACTTCTTCTCTAGGCTGTAGAATCAGTTTCCTTTGCGTAGTACGGAAGCTCCAGAAAAAAAACTATAATTTGTACCTTCCAGAACATTCACTTCCCGTAAACTCTAGAGATGCTTGATTCGTAGTTGATTTTTCGAGATCATAGTTGAATTCTTACCGAAGTTAACCTTGGTCTTCTTAGAGGAAAGATTTTTTAGACTTCTCTCTACTATGTGTTTCCTATTGAACAATTCATCTGTTAGTCAAATACAAGAAACAGATATAGAATCATTTTCCTTTTATCAGACAGCCTATAGAGAACTCCTGCTATTGGCCCCTTCTACAAGGCGTTACAAAAGGCTTTATGTAAAAATGGTTTAAATGTCAGTGAGCATAAAAAATACTGCTACAATAGTCGGCATATATAAGCATGTTTCTATCCGGAAACTTTATCTACCAGCAGGTCTTCAAAAATGCATTTAGAAGGCTCCTTCATTAATTTTCTTATAGAAAAACCAGTAAGGAAAGTAGTAAAGTCGGACGGGGCCGACTATATAATAACCTTCAGAACTATGGGCATATTAAACAAATATTAAGCGATTTCAAACAAACTTGTCACAGCTTAGCTCATACTAATTTCAGAGCGTTTTGTTCCTATCAGCCTATTTGTTCCTTTGTGCGCCAATTACTTAAAATCGATCTATAATAAAAGGGTGCTATATTTACCTTAAATCGGACGAAACTATATATGGGAGCTATATCTAAATCAGGACCGATTTTCTCGAAACTTGGCAAACATCACTCTAGTCTCAATTTGGTACGTTTTGCCAAATTTCGGGCAAATCGAAGGATATATAGGGACTTTGGTGCACCACTTACATAAAATTGGACGAAACTATATATGGGAGCTATATCTAAATCTGGACCGATTTTCCCGAAACTTGGCAGACATCATTCTAGGCTCAATTCAGTACGTTATGCCAAATTTCGTGCAAATCGAAAGATATATAGGGACTTTGGGGCACCATTTACATGAAATCGGATGAAACTATATATGGGAGCTATATCTAAATCTGGACAGATTTTCACGAAACTTGGCAGACATCATTCTATGCTCAATTCAGTACGTTATGCCAAATTTCGTGCAAATCGAAAGATATATAGGGACTTTGGGGTACCATTTACATGATATCGGACGGAACTATATATGGGAGCTATATCTAAATCTGGACCGATTTTCACGAAACTTGGCAGACATCATTCTAGACCTAAATGATTAGGCTGTACCGAATTTCGTGCAAATCAAAAGACATATAGGGACCGTTCACATTAAATCGGTTAAATATATATATTATATCCAAATTTTCCCAATTTCAATAGGGTTCGTCCTGGGGCCGAATAAGTGGCCTGTGACAAATTTCATCCAATTCGGATCATAAATGCGATCTGTACTTTGTTTACAATTTAACATGGACAGGCAGACAGACAGACGGACGGACATGCATAAATCGACTTGGAAAGTGATTCTATGCATATTCTTAAAAGGAACCATGTGTCAATCTCGTTTCCTTTTGCCTGTTACAAACATATGCACAAAGACATAATACCCTGTACCACAGTGTGATGAAGGGTATAATTATCTTTCGTTCACTGTAGACTCACGTTCCTATGGAAGCTTCCTTCTATTAACGGACTGCAGAGGGCTCCTTTTATCAACCGGCTTATAAAAGGTTTTTTTTCCATTCGACCTTATAAGGATCCTTGAGTCATTCGGCCTAAAGAAAAATTATTTCTATTATTTAGCCTTATCAAGGCTCCGACGTATTCACGGTCGTATAGATCAAACGATAAATGAACATTCTATTTTACAACTGATAGAAGGAACCGAACGTATGGAGCCTCCTGATGGAAGTAATTTTCTATAGGTCTCCTGAAGCCCGATAGAAGAAGTCCTTCTATAGGCCCTCCTTATAAATGGCGACTGACTGAATAGACCTTCAGTGAGCCGACTGAAGACATGGTCGACTTAGAGAAGGAGTCTGCTATAGGATGGCGGATAGAAGAAGCCTCTGTAGATCAACCGATTCAACACACTTTCTATGAGCCACTGATAAATGGAGCCTCCTATAGGTCGACAAACTGAATGTGCCTTCTTTAGGCCGACTGATGGATGGACACAGTTGTGGGTCGACTAAGAAAATGATTCTCATGTAGGCTATTTAGTAGAAAAAGGCTACTATAGGCCGCTTAAAAGATGGAGCCTTTTATAGGCAGGACCTTCTATAGTCAGACTGATTGAAAAGTGTCTCTATAGACCAATAAATAGCGGAAACCTATCTATAAAAAGCTAATGGGGCACTCCTCTAGATGCCGAATGATAAAGGAATTTTTTTTAGGTCTACTGATTGAAGAAACCGCTTAATGGAAAATAACGTCTACTGACCGAAAGATGTAGGCAAAATGATCCGACTGATAAAGGAATTTTTTGTAGGTCTACTGATAGAAGAAACTGGTTAATGGAAAATAACGTCTACTGACCGAAAGATGTAGGCAAAATGATCCACGAAGCCGGAAGATAATTAGATAAATAGAGTCTGTTTGTATCAGTCGAAGTAGCCTACATTTTTCAGTCCTCCATCTATTTTCCTTTTATCAGTCGGTATATAAGAGGAACAGTTTTTCAGTCGCCTATAGAAGGATGTTTATATCATTCGGCCTATGGAAGACTTCTTCCAATAGCCGACATATAGAAGGCTCTTTTTATTAGTAATCTTATATAGGTTTCTTCTAGCAGTCGGGCTTTAGAAGCCACCACTATCAATCTGTCTATAGACAGGCCGGTCTAGAAAAGGCTCCTTCTATCAGTCGTCTATAAGAGGCTGCTTCTTTGAATCGCCAATGG